TTTCCTCTGGCCCTACGATATTTATCCACCTCCAAAAAAAAAAAAAAAAAAAAAAGTAAAATAATGCTCACTGAAGCCACGTGGAGTTTACTCATTAAGTTTGGAACCTAGTTCATGCTCAGATTAGGATTCAAGTGACATTCATAACTTGTGGCTAGTTATAAAATTCTTTGAAGGGGAAAGACAGAAACAAGCAGATGGTAAGTTAAATGGAGATGCAGAAATATCTCTTATAGCATCTTCTTTCTTTGCATTTTGGGGCAGTTCTTTCCTTAGATACAAGCATCTAGGAACTGTCCTTGTGCTATCTAACTCTAATTCTGGAATGCATTTGTGTCATGAACCCGGAATAATGATGTGCCACATAAAAACAATCAGCAAGAGGAGTCCGTTCTGTCCTTCTAGTGGTCAGTAGTCAGATCAGAAGTTTATCAGCCAAGTTACATAGGACACAAAGTTCTCTGGATGATATACATAATTAGTGTAAAACAATTCCTGCGGGCTACTTCGTACTCAGACTGGCCCTGCATGGGTTAAGGGAGGGACACTCTCTAGACAAAGCCGTCAGCTGGCTGATAGAATCCAGCCTCTAGATACCAACCCTGCCCCCAATCTGAGTAGTCATGGTGCTTCACTTCTCTGAAGCTCTGTTCTCTCATCTGCACTCTGAAAAACCACGTGGGACGTTGTATCAGGGAAGATTTAGCAGGCACTCCGGAAGTGACAGCTCTCCATGTGGTGCCAGTGATTATTCAGTCTGAAATATTCTTTGGAGAAGACCTAGGTAAGCAATGTACTTACCACCATCCCTGCGGTTGTTCGTCTCCCTGACTCTGTCTTTCTCATACACATAGGCACACTCACATATGTGCAGACATGCACACATAAATGGGAAGACTGTGTGACCTTGGTCAGGCGACTGAACCTATAGATGTCCCTTTCTCTCATCTGTTGAACAGAGACTGTTATAGTTGTCCTGAGGATTAAATGAAAAAATATATTTAAGCCATGAGAATAATGCTTAGCACATAAACGAGTATATATGGGTCAACTGTATTATTTCTATTACTTATGATTCTTCTAGAAATAACCAATGAACTCCTATTGATAAGAAGCCTGAATTTCAACCTTCTCCTGAATCACTAAGCCTCACTATACAGCCTTGCACATACCTGTTTCCCATTTGTACATCTGCTTTCCCTTTCTCTGAGCACTGACAACTTAATTGCCTCTCAAGATCACACAAGGCAAGGTTCTTCTGGCCACTGAGCAAACAATTCCCCAAGAGATTGTCCCCAAGAAGCAGAGAAATAGCCCCTTTCCTCCCACCCCCATGGTTCAGAGTTCCTCTGAGGTGGAGACGTGTCTGTTAACAAAGTTCACAAAGGAAGAAAGATGTTCTGGGAACATCTGTTGGGGCCACTGCCTAGAGGAGAGACTAGGCAGAATGTCCTCTGTCCTAAGAGTGTCATGTTGTTTAAGGAAGACCAGGAACAACTCACAGCAAGTGAATCTGGCCCACTGTGTACCCAGTCTGGTAGGAATTCATGGGCAATCCCATAAATGAGTCTGGGCCCTGTCAAGTCTCCCCTTAATGGGATTCTTGGGAGAGTGGATACACAAAGAACAGCCTCCTAGGCCACGTGGAATGATAGTCACTGCCTAACCACTGGCCAGCGTGGATGCTCATTATCACACATGGGCAAACTCAGGGCAGCATCCAGGCAGATGGGAAGGCACTGTGAGGTGGGCATGGAGGAAGGAAGGGAAGATTTGTGGGGTAGACCTTCTCTCACTGTCTGTGCCTCCTTGGAGACCAGGAGAGAAAGCAGGAAGAGAAATGAGTTTCCTCTGACTTCTCCAAAGCAAGTCCTCCTCAGAAAGGATATAATAAGCCTGGTTAAGGTGGAAAAACCGTCTGATGTTCATTCAGAGAAGTGTTTGTTAATGGACATAAAATGAAAAGATAAATCAATGGAACTGATTAATATTTATGAAGAGTTCAACTAGGAAGAGAAAAAGACATATTGGATAAGGTGAGGAAAGGGCTGCATGTCATAGAGTGGATTTGTTTGGCTACAGGTTCTGTTTTGATCATTGAGTAACATACGAAACAGGAATGTGTGGTAGAGAAATAAAATCTATATCTAGAAATTACTGACTCCATGCACAAAAGCACTACTGGTGACTGTTTTTGTAGACCACTCTATCTTAAAATAATTTTGGTTTTATATAGTCAGTGGTGGTGGATAAGGAGCCCTAAAAAACAGGCAAGTTTCCTGCAAAAAAGAATCCAGGCTGTTAAAGCTACAATTAAGAAATATAGAAAGTAACTGATTTTGTAGATGAAAGGAAATTTGGAAGCAGGAGAGAAATTATGGATAGGGGAAAGTTCTGACTCCAGAGGTTCAAAGATAGGAACTCTAATTACATTAGGGCAAGAGTAGACTGCTCAGAGGAATTTCAGAAAAAATGAAATGGGAAAGCTGGGGATCAAAATCATATTGTGATGAGAATAAATAGGGAAGATGTGACTGGAAGAAGCTAAGCTGCATAATCAGGAAGGGAAGGACAAGAACAGAAGGGAACCTGGTGACCTGAGTAAATAATAGCACCCCCTCCACAAAAGATGCCAAATATAGTGTGTAAATACTCAGAAGGTTCGAGATAATAAGTCAGAAGCCAAAACTCAGTTACCATTATCTTGCTAAGAAACAACAGCGCTCTTAACAAAAACAAATGGCTTGGCTTGGCACGAGACCAATACTGTTTCCCTAGGTAGCTTAGTCTGGGGTGGAAAGGCTGATACCACCCCTATCAAGGGTTTTCAGGCCATTTAAGTGAGCCCTCCAAGGTCGGAACACAGAGATGATTATTGACCATCGTTATCTTGCCGGGGAGGGGCAGGTTGGCCTTGCACGTTAGTGTTCGTTAGCACTACCCAACAGAGATTACAAAATACTGGGAGCCATTCTCTTGAGCACATTAAGCAATATTTGCAAATGTACGTGGGTAAGTGTTGGCTATCTGATTACTCTGGACTGGGAAATGGTTCTCTTCTCAGCAGATCATGATACAATTTCTTTTATGAAGTTGGAAACATAAATATCCTTGTAATCAGCTAAGAGCAGGGACACAGCAGGAAAACTAACAGATATTGCTGCTGTTAAAAGAAGTGCCTCTAGTAGCAAACACATATTGGGCAATGGATATCTAAGAGTGTCAAGGAACATGAGAAAAGATGTCTCCACAGCTGGGAAAGCCTTTCAGAAGTATACCCCAGGTTCCTTTGCACCCTTCCATGAGGTGGCCCTGGTAAGCCCTCTTCCTGAATGAAAAAAAATGAGATTCAAGGAGGTTAGTGGAATGGAGACCTCCTGATTTCTAGCTTTCCATCTTACCTATGTACCTTCCCAGTTTATATTCTGGCTGCATCATTCTTAGCTAAATGACTTAAGTTACTTATCGTCTGTATCCTCAACTATTAAGATGAAAATGCTACTCTCCACTCCCATTAGGTTGTTAGAGGGTCTCAGTGGCACAGCATGCGTCAAAATGCCAGACACAGTGCCTAGCGTGGAGCAGGTCCTCTGCAAATTTGGTGGAACACAGTGGATAGCTGTGCTCCCCTGCATGAGTGACACAGAGAAACCCAGCAGAAGATGATGGCTAGCTCTGTGCTCAGACCCCAAGGCGAATTCTCTCGCCAGGTGAGGTGGCCTGCAGAGCCTGGGAAGGGAGAAGCTTGAGTAGAGTCTCCAAGGTGAGGGGAGTTACCATATGGAGAGGTGAGCAAGGTTTGAGCAGATACTGAGAACAAAGGCAAAGAGGCAAGAAAGGCAGGGATGAGCGCAAAGGACCAGGAGCTATGTTTGCTAAACAGTGAGGAAGGGCTGGAAAGGAATAGGATTGGCTGCTCTGGGGTTCTGGCCTGATCCGCAAGCAAAAGTATGTGACCTTAGAGTGACCTCTATTAGGAAGACTGACCCAATACCAGTGTGAAGAATGTAGGGTCAGGGAAGAGGTGGGAAAGCAGAGAGCTTCATGTTTTATAGACACATACACAGAGCTCCTTTTCTTACAGAGTATGTGTGATTGACTTAATCCCATTTTAAATAGTGTGAGCATTAATTTTACTCTTATAACTGATTATAGAGGTTTAAAGGTATTGTGTTTTTGCTTTTGCAACATATTCTTGTCATATCTAATATGAATCTGATATTAAATCAAGAATAAAACTCTTAATTTTATTGTTGTTTCTATGGTAAAATATAATCTACTGTAAGTAAATTCGTTATGCCATAAACTTTTCAGGAATGAAATGTGATTAAAGTCAGACTCACTGCATATGACAATAATTAAATCTATATTAGACAAGTATAAAAGAACAGCTGTACAAGGAGGTAATTTAGAACAAAAAAATTCACTTAAACACCACAGGAAAGCATCCCAAAGTTTGATACTCATGCTCTATTTAGAGATGTGGAGTTATACCATGTTTTTCAGAAGAGAATAAAATTCAGCAAGTGCCCAAATTATGAAAAGAGTTACATTTTCAGAAATCAGTAGGTGAGGTCTAAGTTTGGGACCTTGGAATTCATTTTTCTCATGAACATACTCTTAAAATAGATGAGGATTAAGTTCTCAATCTATAAAAATCTTTTTAAATCATCACAGAGCTGAAATAGTCTTATTGGCAATCAATAAAATTGAGTAATCTTTTTAGTCAGAAGAATAAAAAACAATATTGAAGTAATTTTAAAAGACAAGTAAAATAAGTCTAAATATAGATGAAGAAATTGACAAATAATTTTGTGAAGTTCTGAGAATACCTAGATACTCTTCAAAAACTTCAAAGTCAATAAGCCCTGTTCTATTTTAGTTTAATGTTTAAAACATGTCACTCTAGTCTTCATTCAGTCACTTATCAAAATTAGGTATCCACAGCTAGACATTGACTAGGGCTGGGGAATTTAGGGTAAAGAAAGAGCTCATAACTCAAGGACTTTTACTAAAGTGCTTGGCCATTTTACTTAACAAATATTGAAAGTGTGGGACACTGAGTCTGTTATTTCTCTAACCATCTACTCCTGCATAGCACTTGTAGCTCACCAGTGGAATAAAGAGAAATGTTCCTGCTGTGATGAGCAAACTGAGAAACAAAAATGGGGAAGGACAAACAAGAAGGTAGTGTGTATGCACAGTGTGAGCGCATGCCTTTGTGTTACTATAACAAAAGGCCTGAAGCAGGGTAATTTATAAAAAATAGAATTTATTTCTCACAGTTCTAGAAACCAAGAAGTCTGAGAACAAGGCACCAGCAGGTTCAGTGAACACCATAGTGAGGGCCGCCCTCCACTTGCAAGATGGTCTGAATTGCTGGGTCCTTCCCCTTCAAAGATGCAGAGCCTCATGGCCTCATTGTCCCTCAAAGGTCCTACCTCTTAGTACTATCACATTAGCAACTCCTGGATTTTGGATGAGGCACTTTCAAACCATATTTGTGTGTGCGCGCGTGTGTGTGCGCACGCAAGCGTGCACATGCTAGCGCAAGTACATGTGTGTAACCCTAAATCAACACTGGGCAGCAAATCTGCAGTCACTCACAGACAGGAGCAAAGTGAAAGTGTGAGTCACCCAATCTGTGGGCTCCCAGCTAAGGTCGGAGGGAGACGCTCTGCCTTTTGTTTCCATTCAGAATGTGAACAATGTTTTCTGTGCCTCTTTTCTTTCTTTGCCCTTCTAGTCTTTCCTTCATTGATTTTGCTTTCTAAGATCCCACCTCTCAGGCCCACGTTCCCTTAGAGCAGCGCAGGGTCTCTGTGAGGAGTGCAGGAAGGCTAGCTGGGCTTCATGGGGCTCCACACGCGGTGGAAAAGCTCCACAGGCTGCTGTGGCGAAGTTGGCAGAGCATTCGATGTTAGTGAGTCAGCACTATGGGTTAAACAAGGTGTCTACACAGAAACTCACATAAACGGAGGCCACACAGCGACAGGCAGAGGAGTATTGTGGCCAGAGGCTTGAAGGAACCCAGGCCTGTGTTGCCCCCAGGAGCGATGTTTCAGAATTCCCTAATTCAGTGTTTGAGTTGACTTTATAGAGCATAACCTACTGTGAATAATGAGAACTGATTGCATTTTTAAAATAATCCACTGACTGCTATATGAAAAGTACATTACAGCAGGGCCAACGAGGTGGCAGATATACCACCAGTTAGAAAGCTGTGGCAGGAGCCCATCCAAGGGGCTTGGGCTCATGTGGTGTGGGTGGCAACGGATGGAAGATGGAAAATGTTCCTTAAAGGTGGACAGGACAGGTTTCCCTTTGCCATCTCAGCAGGCTCTCAGCCACTATCACGTTGCTGTGGTTTGAATTCCTCGCCAGCTTTTCACTCTCAGACATATTCCTTGTTTATTTTTATTTCTGCTTTCCCCTACATCAACAGAAGCCATGTAAGAGCAAGGACCACGATCTGCTTCCTTCATTCCTGGACCTCCAGTGCCTAACACAGAGGTGGCCTAGACAACTGTTCAATGTCAACACACCAATGCCCAGACTTGCCAAGGGTAAGACCAGAGGTGGAGGAATGAGAGTGATTAGGAGTAGTGGGATGCCAGATGTGGTGGTTACACACCTGTAATCCCAGCACTCAGGAGGCTGAGGCAGGAGGATAGAAAGTTCAAGGCCAGCCTGAGCCACAGAGTAAGATCCTATCTCAAAAAAAAAAAAAAAAAAAAAAAAAAAAAAAAAGGGATGGGAACGGGAGGAGCAGGAAATAGAGTTTAGTTTTTGTTAATGTCTTGAATAATTTCAACTGTAGAGTTTTTACCAATAAGAAAAAAGTGGTTAAACTGGATGAAGAATGGATAATTTAACTCTTCCCATGATAACTCAAGGATTCTTATCAGTCTCCTGGTAGAAATAGCCATCGATTCATTTATGTTTCATTGTAAGACCTTATCATATAAGAAATTACACAGATGATATATTCATTTGTTAAGGCTGCCATAATCAAGTACTACAGACCAAGTGGATTAAGCAACAGAAATTTTTTTCTCTTGGGTCTGGAGGTTGGAAGATCGAGATGTCGGCAGGACCCTGTTTCTCTCTGTGAGCATGGGGAGAGTAAGCTCCAGGATTTCTTCCTCCTCTGATAAGGACACCAGTCCTATCTGTTGAGGGCCATCCGTGTGACCTTGTTTCACTTATGACCTCCTAAAGGCCCTTGTTAGAGACATAGTCACATTCTGAGCCAATTGTGGCATCAACAAATGAACTGGAGGCTGGAAAAGGTGCACAAGGCAGTCCATAACAGATAGCCTTAGGAAGAAGCAGGGTGCTGGAAGACTGTCCACAAAGAGACACAACAGTGACTCAAGGGCCACCTACAAATAAGATTCACACTTTGTAAGGCCCAAGTGCGGACCGCAGAAGCCTGAATCCTGACATCAACTCCAGCAAGTGGACATACATGTTCATCTGAACCAGCTGCTTACTTGGAGATATTCTCAAGGGTCCCCAGCTTGGTTGGGGCAGAGAACTGAGGGTTCCCTCTGCCCAGTTCTCTACTGCCTAAAAGGCATGTGATGGAAAAACAGGCTGGTGGGGCCAGCGCAGCAGCCAGTGAGCCAGCAAGCTCCAGATCCTGTGCTGGTTTCCTCGCGGTCTGTGGTTGTAATGATGGGCTTCTCGCTGCAATTGGCAATTGGCATGATCTGGAAGTTGTGAAGGAGAGGTTTGGGGATGACTTCAGAAAGTAGAAAATTACTGTAAATAAGGTAGTATTTAGCCATTTTTAATTTTATACAGCTCATTATATCATGGTGAAATGACATTTGGGGCAGGAAGCATGTGGCTAGTGGGTGGGTAGATGCCAGGCCCGGCTGCCATCCCAAGGGAAGGTCATGCAGAAGTCTCCAGGCAGCTGCACAGAGGGGTCCTCAGCCTGGCACTGGTGACCCCTTCTTCCTGACAAGGCGCTTGACTTTGTACAGTCCATGCTCTTAGGTTAATAAAGAGACAGAACAGAGGCCCTGGATGAGAAAGGGTGGACTCTTCCAGTCCTCAGGGATGGACAACAGTGCCCTAATTAGATTGGACCAGTGCAACACACAGTCCTTCCCCACCGAGGCCCTTAGTCATGCAGTCAAAGCTTCAACATCTCTAAGAGCCGCTGTACCATCCCAGCTCCCTGACAACTTAGGAAAAGATAGGTTAGTCTGTGCCTGGCCCAAAGAAGCAGTCACCCAAATCTGAATCATTAACAGTTCAGAGTCCTTGGTACATCATCTACACTCACAGTGCAAGAGCTTTGAGTATTGTGGGTGTCTCTGCAATTAATTTCCACCAGCACTGCATTCTTGATTTGAAAACTGTGAAGCACAAATGTAACATAGAGAAACGGTAGTGTTGTGTTGTGGTTCAGGGAAAGCACTTTGGGGGTCAGTCACCTGAGTGTCAATCCAGGCTTTCCTGCTTTGTCTTTGTGTGATCTGGTGGAGTGACTGGGCACAAGCAAAGCTTGCTCAGTACATGATAGCCCCTACCTCGTGGGGCATGATGAAAAAGACATACACAGGGGCTAGGGACAGGGAAGCACTTGGGACAAGGGAGGTTGTCGTGATCACTGAACAAAGACACCTTTGGAAATTTCACTGGTTTTGTGGGGGGGGGACAAAGGAGGGAGGGCAGGCACTGTGTAGATAGCAGAGGTGGGAACTCTGTACACCTGCCCAGTAATGACACCAAGCAAAAGAAGGACTTACAGGTTTTATGAGACATTACTGTGAAAACTCTACGATGATAAAACACTCTTTCCAAGATAGGCCAGGGTTTATCTGACAGACCAGGTTCTTTTCCTCTTTCTAAATGGAATGTGTCTTATTTCTATTTTTCCATATTCTTAAACACCCTCGGAAATGTCTTGACACACCTTGCCCCAGCCTCACCTGCCTCTCCACACCTTCACATCCAGCTTGGGAGACCTCATCAGATGTTTTCCTTCTGCCCGGCAGGCGCCCCAGGACTACTAGACCTGTGGCCCTATAGATGTCCTGTCTGTGTCTCTTACCAAGGAAAAAGCAGCTGCTCCTGACTCCAGAAATGGAAGAAGGCAGTAAGGGGGGACCAGCAAGCAGCAGGAAGAGAAAAGGAAAGAAGGATGGAAGAAGAGAGAGAGAGGAGGCGTTGGGGAGGAAACAACATTTTCAAAGTTTGCTGTGAAGGAAGAAAAAAACCAGTGGAGTGATGCTCTTTACATAAATGTATATAGAAAATGAACATTTATAATAACCAGGATAAATTGAACATGCAGGGAAAAAAATCCAGATACACCCTGGATGTTAAATACAACAGGATACAAAGTTGCAAACACAGTATGATTCGAACAATGTGAAAACCAAACAGAAATTGATGCAGGAAAAATGACCTGACAAATGTTTCCAAAGTGTTATGTTAGCAGTATTGGTCTTTGGGAGGCTGGAGAGAGTTTTCTTCTCTTTCTTTAACAGGAAAGCATAACAGACTTATTTAAAAGCAAAACCTGGCTACAGGAAGACCAGCTCATTTGAAAGCAAGGCAGCGCACACATCCAAAGGGCCAACATGTCTGTACTTTCTTCTCCTCCATCCTGTCTCAGTGTTGCTGTCTCAGCTGGCACCGAGCCACATCCAGGTTCCTATGGATGCTTTTCTTCCTGATCTTCTCTCCACTGTATCACTCCTGGCCTCAGGGCCCTGTCTAGTCCTTCATCCCTCCCCTGCCCCTCTCTCTACAGTCTGTGACTAAGGGATTAGTGCAGAACTCCAGGGGTGCGCAGCCCCACGCACCCTCTCCTATCCTGCACTCCCAGGCCTCTTGCCTCCTCCCTAAGCAACACCAACAGCTTGCAAATATTGCTACCTTGTTTCTGACCCATCCCCCAAACTAGAAACTGTCCCTGGGGCAAGCCACCCCCATGATGAACCCTGTCCCTAACACAGTCTGCGACACCTGTACCGTTCTCAGCGAGTATCTGACCCTGCTCAGCATACACGGGGATCTTCTCTGAATCTAATCTGGGCACCTACCTGAACTTTTGGGACACCCACAGGCTAGTTCAAGCCTGCCTTTCCTGCCTGATTCCCACCCCCTCAAAGCAGGCCACCCTGCTGAGCTGACTGCCCCTTTACTCCCCAGCACACCTCACTCTCGCAGTCCCCAAAGCACCTCCATGTGTCCTTTGGCTTTTACTTTCTACTTAACTTCCCCTGTGCCTGCCTCCCAGGCTAACGCGGCTCTCAGGTCGGCACCCATGCCCTTACCTGGCCCAGCAGTGGCATTAATATAGGTCACTTACTGCTGTGGAGGTGACCGGCCTGGGCAGCGCCAGATTTGGAACTGGAGCTGTGGATCCATTTCTTGCACAAGCCACACCTTGAGGGAGGGCTGGACCTGGGTTGGGGAGCTCAGCCACCCAGCTGTCCCTGTTCCTGGCTTCTGCCTCTGCTTCCTAGTTCCCTGCTGGACTGTGGGGGCAGCCCCAAGTCTCTGGCATTGCTCACTGAGGGACCAGACAAGCCCCGGGGACACCGTCCTGCACCCTGCAGCCAGCATCCCTGTCCTCCTGGAGGGGCACAACAGTTTGTTGGGTCAGTGGGCCAACTGTTATTGTCCACAGGGAAGTAGTGACAATGAGAAAATCGGATTTGTTTTCCTTCTGGCAAACTCTCAATGGTTCCCCTCTGAATATTGTCCATGGCAGTACTTGGCTCAGCATTTAAGGATCCCACGTTTTTATCCAAATCTGTCATTTGTCAATCAGGCACTACCCAAGGCCACCAGCCTGCACCTTTTCCTAGCTTCAAAAGAAATGGAAAATTCCTCACTGAATGCATGAACAAATCCCTCAGCAATAGTTTTACACTGTATCTGAGTCTTCTGGATTTACTGATGAAAGATGTTACAACCATCTCAGAGTGACTTTCCTGTCCTAGGCTGTGCCTCAGGGACTCTGGCTCCAGCTAAGACACAGAGGAATGCAGAGCAGATGACAAAAGACTAAACACCTTCAGTATCAGACGGGGGTAACATCACAAGTCACCTCTTGGAATCTCCTCCCTCTGTAGACATGATGTCAGCATTATCGCTTGCCAGCCTGAAGACAGGACAGGAAGGGGCTGGCTGAGGAAAACTCCGGGATGCTTTTTGAGGCCATGGATGGAACCGCCTGGATCAGGGCCTGAGAAGCTGAGGTGTGACCGTGGGAGGCTGCTTCCGGGTCTCTAGCCTGGCAGTGGCCCATTGTATGCAGATCAGGGCGAGGCAACGGACTCTCACCCACCGAGAAGCGAGAAGCGCCTTCAGCAATTACAAAACTGGGCCATCGCCTCTGCCTGACTAGGAGGAAGCCTGGGCTGGTGACTCACTCTTACTCGTGGGGAATCTGCAGTGCTCCAGTGCTGGCCCAGCCTTCTGTCTCCCACGTGTTCAGCCTCTCCAGTCTCTCCAGACAGCCTCAGAGCTAAGGCAACTACGAGGAAAAAACCCCAAGTTTTTAAAACCAGACTGGGGTTAGACTTCTCAGGGTTGGTTCTTCCTCTGTCTACCCTCCCACACACCCTCCTCTCTTACCTCTCAACCACCTGCTTTTACTTTCTTTCTCCCCCCACCACACATTTGTTAGTACATATTGGTTATCATGTTAATGGATTTCCTTCTGGCAGATTTGTATATGCATAGAACATGCCCCCACACTTCCCGACCTCCGTCCAAAGTGCTGCAGCCTGCACATGTTTAATGAGAAGGAAGGCTTGATGATTTTCAGAGGCCTACAGAGGCCACCACTGTGGTGGAGGTGTTGCTACACAGCTGTCAGGTGGCGATGGCACTCAGGGTAGAGCAGAGATTAGATATGCTATCCACCCAAAAGGCCGACAATCAGAATGCCCTGTGTAATCCTGGGGGCGCTTCCAGTTCAGTGTCCGTTTAGGAAGAAAATCAGTACACTCCCACAACAATTTATTGTTCTTCTCCCTCGTCATTTCTCTTTTGATAATGGAACAACTCCCTACCCCCACTATGAAACAAACCCTCTGATGTGTCCACGGGGCTGCCTGGGGGCAAAGGTCAGCTCTCTGCCTAGGGTCAGCTGCTCCCGGTGACCTTGTCATCTAGAAGCTGGCTTGCAGACAAAGCTCTCTTCACTTCCCAGCAAGGCCTGTTATGTCCAGTTTCATCCATGATTCCAGGGAGTTCCGGCCAGATTAGTCTAACTCTGAAAATGATTGGCAGCCCTTGCTCCATGGCTTCTGGGAAATCTGCATGTTTCTACTAGGATTTAGGAGCTGCAGAAACCTGTCTGCCCCTGGCTTTGCTCAGCACCTGGCATCCTCAGGGGCCTTGGGACTCCACCCAGCCCCAGCCTAACCCTGCATGAGCTGGCATTGGCTGGCCAGTCTGGCCTCCCCCGGGATCCCTGTTTGGCTTGGCCTTTGTCAAGGAGGCTGGGAGCCTAAAGAAGCAGAGAATGAAGCAACAGCTTCCCTGGAGCACATTCCTGCCTATTGCCTGGTATCTGAATTGTGTGCCAAGTTGGGTGACTCTGCCTCTGCTTCTACTGATCCTTGGTAACAATGGCATGCCGCACACTGATCTTCTGCTCTTGCCTGGACAGACCTCCACAAGAGAAGAGACTGAGCCCTGGGGCCTGAAACCCATGGGCTCAGATATGTGCCTTTCACGCACACTCTCAGAGATGCTAAGACCCCTCCCAGAGCCTTGCTAGGTCCTGTTGGCTCATCCCCTGGACCTAACCAACCTGGCCAGGTAGTGTTTTAGATTCCAGAAATGGGCAAAGTGCGTGATGTCAGAGTGGTTTAAATCTCAAGGGGGCCTGGCATGGCAGAATATCTGAGGCTTGGGTTTACAATAAGCAGAAAAAAGCCCTCTTGGTCACTGTGACAGCTTTGTCTAATTTAACCTACCATTTCTCAGAGCACCCTGAGCATTTTGGAGAGTCAGACTCTTGCCTGATTATTTTTGCATGCAGGTTGGAAATGTATGGTGAAGATTCTGAATCTCCTGACCTCTTCTCTGGAGCAAACCCATTAGTCCAGGTTGTTTGCAAGCTGCTATTACTCTCCTAAGCTGGGTGGAGAAACTGAAGAAAGCCCTTCCTCTCTCCATTTTCATCTAGATCCACAACCTGGCAGGGACCACGTACTCCAGGCTTGCCAGGGACAAATCTGCTCAAGCCCTCCCCGGCCTAATTATGAAAACGCCCCTGTGGCTCTCGAAAGTGAAAGCTGGACAACAAATTGCACAGTCACCCTGTGTACAGAGGTCATCACACGCTTTGGGATCCTGTTCTCACCGGGCGCACTGAGCACGTGGTGTGACTGGAGGAGGTGGAGTGGGAAGGGAAGCTGACTTGTCCACACTGACACAGTGAGTAAGTGGCACAACCGCTGAAGGGAACCCAGAACTCTGACTCATGAGCTGCTCCCTCCTGACACCACCCTGCTGAAAGGTGTAAGAGGAACAGGGTGGGGTCACCGGCAGCACATGGGGACCACTATATAAGTGAAACAGTGGGGAGAAGACAAATTTGTGACCCCCAGAGGACTGAAAGAATCCTCCCTGTATGTTGGTGAGATCCAAAGCTGGGGTGTCTCACTCCTCACTGGGTGGGTGAGGCAGCTTCAGATTAAAAGGGCAAAAGCACAAAAGGAGAGGGGGCCATGTGAGGAGCACAGGGATGGCTGATGGGTGATGACTTGTGAGTGCCAGAGAGAGGAGAAGCCTACAGCGGGACAATCAGCAGCACGGCAGGGAGGCGCAGCCAGAGCAGGAGCCCACGCCCAGGCCTAGCAGAGTGCGTTTCTGGCACAGTGCAGGTGGAAGGACCCAGGCTGACTTCCCCCTCTGCAGTGGGGTCATTTATTAAGGTGGCACTGAGCTGGATTCGGAAAGAGGAAGTCTGATGAGAAGAAAGGGGTGAGCCCAGCATGAGGGATGTGTGGGGACAGCGAGCACTGGAAGACAGGGAAGAGAAACAAAGAATGTCTAACCAGCATCCTCATTTTTTTGGTTTTATGGGAAAATGGTGAAACTCTTGCAAGTGGCGATTACAGAGGGTGGGAGTCAAAGAGAAACCGCAGGCAGTTTTTTGTTTTTTTTTTAGAACAACAACCAAAAAATGTTCTCCCCAAACTAAACAAAGTTAGGTTGAGAAATTCAACATGGTACCTTAGGGACCTGGTGGCTCATTGTGCCTTCCCACAGGCGCCAGCCTCAGGCTCTAATGGCCACCTAAGGAGAAGAAGGGACACTTAGACTTTTCAGTCATGGTTCTCATTTGCAAAATAGTCTTTGCTGCCTTCTATAAAGCCCTTTGAGTCCTCTGCGGAAGCCGCTTTTGTGAGCTTCACAGGACTCCTAAACAGGTGATCCTAACCTGCTATCTGCACCAGATGGCTCACTTGCTCCCTGCCTCGCACAGGACAGCTGTGCAGCCTGTGACTCAGGGTGGTCCTTCCTGCATCTGTGCCCCATGCAGGCTGTGTGCTTACCTAAAAGGTGATTTCCCTTGGATGACACCCTGGGCCCTGTGCTTTGCTATCATTAAAGAAACAGAGGAATCCCCTAATTACAAGGTGGAACTCTGCCTTCAAAGATAGGCATGAGGCAACTTCTTTAGGAAAAACCAGGGCTGGGCCTGGGTGGTCTTGGTATTAGTTCCCTAGTGATGTGATTAAAAGAACCCATGCATTTCAGAGTAGCTTTTTTCCCCTTTCTTTTTTTTTTTTTTTTTAAACAAAAATGTAGGAGTCATTCAACCTTCTTGCAAATTACAGTGATTTTAAGTAAATAAAATGTTAGCAGTCCTCCCCGCCCTCTCACCTATCAGGCACAGAGTACCTGTATCTGATGACAGGAAATATCCCCTGCCTTCCCCCACTTAAAAAAAATCACTGTAACTGTTCAATTACATGTTGTGGGGTCAAATTTTTATTTACATGAAATTCTGATTCTCAACCATCTGATTTTTGTTAACTACTGCATCTAAATCAAGTAGTGCCTGCAGACCCCGTAATTAGTGTGATATCTTAAATTGTTCTTGAATTGAAATGGCTGTAGTGCTGTCTCTATCTGTGGTGCTAGAGGCGTCTATCTGGTGACTGAGATCCTATCTGCCCACACAGCCCTGTCTCCTTGGGCCCTGTTGGGGGTGGGCTGTGCTGGGAAGCTCCTTTCACTGTCAGAGTGCCAGACGGGGGCTGGGGGAGGGGCCTCAGTGCCCGTCTCAGTGAGACGAGTACATGCTGAGCCGCAGAACAGTGAAGCAAGGGAACTTCTGACCCCACTCTGGGACTTGAACATGGTCCCAGGATATGGGAGAGCCCTGCCCCTGCTTGCTAGCCAGGTGTGATAAGGATGGAGGAGGGAGAGCTTTGATGTCTCAGACAAGTATTGGGCTGGTCTCCAGTTCTCGAACTTCTGAGTGTAGTCTCCTGGGCACCCCAAAGTGGCTGGCTGTGATCCTGGGAGCTTTGGAGCCACTAATACCAATGTCCATGCTAACAACACCAGTGGTCACCTCTATCTAGGCAAGGGCTGAGTCCTGGCATCAACCCAACTCTTCCCAAACAGCTAGACTGGGCCATTAAAAACAACAAACACCAGGAGGTAGACATCCTGGGCACAGTCCTAGAACTGGCTGTGTCAGTGAAGGGCGCCCATACCATCAAACGAAAAGTCTAATGACACAGTGAAAGTACCATGCCTTTCTCAAAGACTAGCACCACCTTCCTATACACACTTATAGTGGTTCGACTCCACAGAGACAAAAGACTTTCTATAAAATTCCATTTTGTTCATTGGCAGTTTCCCTTTTTTAAAAAAATTATATACATTTAAGGTATATAATATGATGTTTTGATATACATAGGTCAAGTGAAATGACTACCACAGCCAAGGAAGTCATGCTCATTGTCTCTCTCAGACAAGTTGTATGGTGGGGGGTCACTCTCATAAACTTCCAGGACACGAGGCTGGAATAATCATAAGCCTCCTGCTGCATATTTGATCTTCAGACTGATTCTTCCTACTTAACAGAAATCTGTACCCTCCAACCTGCATCTCCCTGTATTCCCTTCATCCCAATCCTGCCAACCACTATACTACTCTCTTGCCTATGTATTCAACTTTTTTTAGATTCTACACATAAAAGAAATCACCAAGTATTTTCTTTCAGTACCTGGCTTATTTCACTTAATATCATGTCCTCCAGGCTTACCCTTGTTGTCGTAAATGATAAGGCCTCTCTTTTACAGTTGAACAATATTCCATCATGTATATGATTAAAAATACAATGAATGTTTAGTCTAAAAAATTATTACAGTAAAAAACATGTTGCTGTTAAACCCCCTCAAAATACTGCCTCTTGCTTCAAACACACCTCATTACTATTGCCACTTTCTGAAGCAGTTCTAGAAGTCTTCCATGAGTTTCTTTAATTGCACCGTGATGGCTGCCTCAGTGTCTTAAACTGAATCAAAACGTTTGCCTTTTGTGGTCATTTTGTTTTTGGGAAGGAACAAGAAGTAGCACAGAGTCAGACCCAGTGAATAAGATGAATAAGGGCATGCTGTAATGTTTTTACGAACCTGTCTCTCCTCTGTATGACGCTTGCCTACAGAATTAACCATATTTGTGATCAAACACACTCACAAAAGAGAACTTCCAGAACTGCTTCAGAAAGTAACAAGAATGATGAGAAATGTGTCCAAAGAAAAGGAGGGTATTTTGAGGAAGATTAATGGCAATGTGACTTTTACTGTAATAATGTTTTATTTAGACACACACATATAGTTCCATCTTGTATATCACAATCCCTTTATCCATTTGTCCATCCATCAGTGGACACAGGTTGTTTCCATGGTTTGGCTGCTGTGAATGTTGCTTCAAGGAACATGGCAGGCAGGTGACTATCAGTTGCTGATGTCATTTCGGCTGGATGTGAACTTAGCAGTGAGATTGATGGGTCATGTGGCAGCCTCATTTCTAAAGTTTTTCAGAACATTCATACTGTTTTCCGTAATGGTTGGACAAACTTACATTCCTACCACCGATGTGCAGGGGTCCCTTTTCTCCACATCCTAACCATTACTAATTATCTCTCATCTCTTTTGATAAGAGACATCCCAACAGATGTGAGACATCATCTCATTGCGGTACATTTTCCTCATAATTTTTGATATTGGGTACCTTTCCATATACCTGTTGGCCATTTTTATATCTTCCTTCGGGGAAATGTCTATGCAGGTTCTTTGACTGTTTTTAATTGGATTATTTTTATTTGATTAGGTTTGTTGGGGATTTTTGTTTTTGTTTTTCATTAAGTTTATTGGTACATTTAAAGCAAACGATACAGTTACAGTCATCATTGGGATCTTGTACCTTTACATGATATATCTTGGTCCTTGTTTTTTCCCATTCCCCTGTCCTCCCTTCACCCCCTTCACCCTTCCCTATTCACAAAGACTTTGCTTCCATTTTTTCAACATTTTTTTCTTTTCCCTTATTTCCTTTCCCCTCCCCTCCCCACTTCCCCTTTAGCCATTTTCTTCCTATTTCACTCTCTTAATTAAAAGTTTTTCTGTTTTTTTAGTAATATGAATTTATTATATATTTTGAATAGTAACCCTTTATTACACACATATATGAAGCACATGTTTTCCCCAATTTCCAGGCTGTACTTTTGTTGTTCCCTCTGCTATGCAGATTATGTCTGATATAGAAACACTTGTTTACTTTGCTTACGATTCCCACATGCCTCTGATTTTTTAATTGCACCGAAGGATTTCTAGTCAGAAAAGATGGCTTTCCTTAGCTTTTTTTCCCCCATAAAGCTTTTCCCTTTATTCTTTGTCATACTTTCTATAGTTGACTTTTTAAAAAATCCTTTCTATGATGAGAAAAGTAAGACAAAGTTTTTCCAAAGTCCCACCCCAAAAATCAGTTAACCAACAAGGTGATTTCTTCATTCTTCACCTTGGTCCGTGGAGATGAGGGAGACAAACACAGAGACAGAGAGCAAAGAGAAAAGTGAGGCTTCGTGATTGGTTCAGGAAGGGAAGAAGTCAAGGTAAGCAGGGACAAACACTGTGTCACACTGTCACAGCACCCAGTCCCATGGGGCAGCACTGACAAACCAACCATCTAGCAAGAGACAAGGATTGGCCCACTTTGTCATCAGACAAATGTCCATTTTAATGTTGTTTCTTCCTAATATGAGAAAACAAAAAAACATGGAAACAAAGTCTTTGTAGATAGGGAGGGGTAGAAGGTTTGAAGGGAGGGTAGGGGAATGGGGGAAAAATAAGAACCAAGATGATTATGTAAAGGTGCAAATTTCCAATGATGAATGTCATTGCACTGTATACCCTAAATGTACCAATAAAATTAATTAATCAAAAAAATATTGTTTCTTCCTAAAATAGAGCTTAGCTCTTTGACATTTGGGGCAATGGCTGGCATAATACGGCCCTCTGGTTGACATATAGGCTGAATTGTGTCTCCCTGAATCCATACTTTCAAGCCCTAATACTTCAGAAGGCAACTGTACTTGGAGATGTGGGTATATTTCTTTCTTTCTTTTTTCCTTTTCTTTTCTTCCTTTCCTTCTTTCCTTCTTTCTTTCTTTCTTTCTTTCTTTCCTTTTTTCTAGAGTAGAACTTAGGGCAGTGATGCCAAACCTTTTAGAGCTTTCAATGATACAAACAGCCACGGCAGCATGCATGCCATTGACTTGCCACCACTGACTGAGAGCCTCACACAGGCTAGGTGAGCATTCCATTGCTGAGACACCCTCTCATTCCCGAGACGGGGTCTTGCAGAGATTATTAAGACCAGGTCTTTAGTACAGACACTAGTCCCATCTGACTGGGGTCCTTACAAGAAGAGGAGATTAGGAATACAGGCTCACTCAGAGGGACAACCACATGAGCACACCCGAGGAAGACAAGGAGAGGAGCCTTGGGAGGAACCCCTCCTCCTCCGCTTCAATCTCAAACTTCCTGCTTTCAGAATTGTGAGAAAACTGAGTTGTTATTGGTTAGGTCCCCCAGCATGTTGTACTTTGTATGGTAGCCCTAGCAAATGAGTACAGGAGATATGTTAAAGATCAACTTTGCCTCCGTTAGTCTCAATATAAACAGACAATATCACCAGTGCTTACATTTACATGGGAGGGCAGCATGACCCAGTACTCGCTCTGGTCTGGGCCTTGGTTCAGTTCACCAACTTCATCACTTACTAACAATGAGGCCTTGGACAAACACTTAACTTGTGCCTCGGTTTACAGATCTGAAAATGGGTCAGTGGTACCTTATCTCACAAAATTATTATGAGGATTAAATGAATTAGTGTCCTAAAGCACTTAAAATATTGCTTAACCCAGTGACTAATGCATGAATATTTAAAATGGCTACAAAGTACAATGGAATTCAGTTTATAAAATCTTTATAAATTCTAATGGGAGAGAGTTGAAGCCAGGCCCTTTTACACTGAGCTCTGTCCCTAGCCCTTTTGTTTTATCTAGTTTTGTTTTCAATGTTTTATTTTGCATCAGGTTGTCCCTGAATTATCCAGTCTGGCCCTGAGTTTGTGATCCTCCTGCCCTAGCTTTCCAAGTAGCTGGATTACATGTGTGTCCCACCACACCTTGCTTAGCATAGTTTATTAAATTCTATGTATAAAGAATTCCTGTTATATTCAAGGAAATATGTCATAACATTCAGAGTTTTAACCAGTGCTGCTAGAGGCTGGAGTATTCAATTTAGATTTGTGGGAAGAGAAATGACTGAACTGAGTGGTGTACCCTGACAGTGAAGATGGTCACCATGCATGCATCCTGACAGAAGTGATTGTGAACCGTGTCTGATGAGTATTTTAACATTCTTCTTTCTCTCTTTTTCTTCCTGGTCATGAGGGGAGTGGTTTTACTCTGTCATATGTTCCCACTATGACATGCCATCTTGGGCCCAAAGCCATGGGGCCACTGATCATGCACCAAAACCTACTAATGTGTGAGCCAAGATAAACCGTTTTCTCTTTATAACCTGATTACCTCAGGTGTTTGCTACAGATAAGGAAAGCTGATTAGTGCACTGTCTTCCAACTCCCACCAACATTGGTTACCCCAAGAAGTGTCCCCAAGATTGTCCAGCACGCGCGCTGAAAATGTTCACAGGTGCTATTTGCATGCCTCGCCACAGAGCTGGGGTAAACACTGCTTGATTTTTACAGGTAAAACTTTAACAAAGATAAACTTGCTCACGGCAGTGGACCACATGATTGTTCTGTGTGTGATGACTAACAGAAACAGAGTCCAGCTAGGGCCAGCATCCCAGGGTCCAGAAACCAGTGTGCAAATCTTTCTGGAAGGCCAACCTAGCTGCAATCTGCTCAGGACCCAAGAGCACTGGAGTAAGCTAGACGATCAATGACCAGAAGAGCCACATGGCTGAATGGAACGGTGTTTGGTGACTGAGAAATGACAACTCGTTGACCTTTAATATTCTACTCAGTTTCTGTCAGGAAATCCTAAAGCCCTAACAACTCTCCAGACAATCATTTGGCCAACAGGTTCTTACACAGAAATGTTCAGTCTTGAAAAATGAGTCTTATAAACCAGTTGGGAAAAGAGGAAAGTATCAGCAGTAGGGAGAGAGCACCCGAGGTAGACTTCACAGGCTATTATTCCTCTGGGATCAAACACTGCCTTTCAGACACTGGGAACGTTTTTATGAGCATAAAAATTACTGCAGGAGACTTGAAATATTTTCACTCATGTCAGTACAATCCGCAGAGCTATTAACATTTTCAAAATTTCAAGCACTAAAAGGTACATATCATCTGAATGGAAGTACTGGAGTAACTGATAACCTGCCTCCGCCAACAGTGGATGGGGAGGTTGATGGTACTTTATATAGCTTTTATTTATCTAGAACTAAACCACTGCATGACCTCACATGTCCCAAAAATAGCTTGGAGACATTGAATTTTTTTTTAAAGAGCAAACCTTGAGAAATGCTTTTCTGAAACACTTCTCTCATAGGAGAACTAGCCTCATGCCCTGACTCAGAACGTGTGTAAATGTATTGTACACATGTCCTTAACCAGTGAGCATCCTGCTTTCATTCCCTGACAGTTCAGAAATAGAAAATCAGCAATCAGGGGAGGATTTCTCACAGCCATAGTCACTAACAAGGAACAGCTGCCGTCAGCCCAGAGGCAGGAGAAAGAAGCTGGAGGCACGCAGACTCAAGACTCCCAGAGGCACAGTAACTTGGGCCCCTTAGCATACAGGCAGATGTTCTGTCCCTGTCCATCTGAATTGCCTAAGCCTTAACACACATAGCCCTACATAGGATGACTTCTCGCCGTGATGACTTCAAGACAGAAGAAAAGAAATTAAATTAACTTCCCCTTACTCTTAAGAAACAGGAGATAAACTGCATTTTGGAACATTTTCTGCCCAAAATGATTTTTTTCTTTCCTTCTTGTGTCTCCCCTCTCCGTACTTCCTCTCCTCTTTTCTCTCTTCTGTTTTCTCTTCCTTTTTCCTTTTTCTGGCACTTTGAAGCACCTGCTTCAATGTGTCTAGAACTGCGCCCTCCAGAATGGACAGCTAAAGAGCTGCAACTTGCTGTTCTCAGCTCCCATGTGCTCATAGGGCTTATGGCACTATGTGTGACTGATATTTAGTCACACCCTTTAAGAATAACCTCCCAGTTTTTAAGTTTCTGAACAGGTGAACTACCCTTAAAGATACAGCTACTGGAAAGGAGGAAAAACGGGGGAGGTGGGAGGAACAACTAAAAGAAATTGTTAGGAGAGGTTGTCAGAATAAACATTACATCAGTGTGGTGGGAGGGGAAAGAGGGCTTCCTTGAGGCATAAACAAAATGTCACCATCTCATTTATTTTTACTTTTAGCCCAGCTCACAGACAGATCTCTGAAACTGCTCATTATCACCAGATGCCCTTTCGAGGGCTGAAGAACTGAAAGAAAGATCTAAGTTACCTCCCTGTATGACATATAAGAAATGTCGGCACATGCAGATCTTCCTAAGGAAAGAAAATGTAACTGTAGCAGCTCTGCAGTAAGTTTTATCAGTTGCTTCACACGCACACACTCACGCACACCACACACACACACACACACACACACACACACACACACACACACATACACATTCATATACCCCATTTAGATTGGGGCCTTTGACCTGCAGAGAATGTGTAGCTTCAAGAGCTGCTCTTCTCTGACTCTGAAGGCTTCCTGTCATCCAAAATCCTGGAAAACGCTATGCCTGATTATTCCTTGGATCCTTGCTGAAACTGAGGATGGAGCCAGGGCCGCCTCTTGTCACCTGTTGTGACTGGCAGTGGTCCACGTAAGAGCACACTGCCTATGAGGAAGCTGAGGCTCAAGAAATTTGAGTCAAGTTCCCAAGAGATGCATCTTACAAGCAGAGATGGGATTTAGAGAGGTTGCTTATAGCTGCTGGGCTCTCCCACCAGCCAATGAGACTTAAGCAGTTATCAATGAAGCTGACCCTCATTTTCAAAGGGTCAGGGATGGACTGAGAACAATGGTACTTGGAATGTAGACACCAGGATGCACTGAGGCCCATGCCTTGCACAAAAGAGCGCTCTCGTGTCCCTTAGTAATGGGCACTTGGCCTGTCTGAATGGCTTCCAAGCAGCCCAAACAGCAGGGGCTGGGCCTGGCAGCACAGCTGATGTGGGGAGAAGGTCTGTCCCTGTGTGGCCTTGGCAGCAACAGATCACCCTATCTAGAATCTTCTCTGCTCACCACGGCACTTTGCAACAGCAAGTAAAATATTCACAATCAGATCTGGACTTTTCCAGCCGGACATTCCTTGTGACCAAATCCTATGTGACCTGGGAAGTTGCTCTTTCATGGGTTGTTTCTAGTCACACAAGTAACAAAAGGCAGCTCTGGCTTCATCCTCAATTTCAGCAAGGATCCAATTATACAGAGATTAGGCCAGGTGATCCCTGAGCCTCGGCCTTCCATTGCTCTGAGGTGTTTGCTAAATGCAGTGGAGGCAACTAAAAAATAGACATGTGGTGAAAAGGAGAAGGAAAAGAAAAAAGAGAGAGAGACAGAGACAGAGACAGACAGAGACTAACTTTGGAAATTATCAGCCTGTCAACTTACCATATGTAAAAATACAGTAACCATTGATCAAAATATCAAGTTGTCAGCCCTGAAACAGAACGCTAAGGAAGTACTAAGCTGTACATACAGTATATGACCAACTGAGCCTCATGGACTAACAGAACTTCCTTCTCAGGCAAAGTGGCAAGTCACCGTGGCAGCCATAAGATCAAGACAGGACCCTGCAAAGTCTTCAGGAAGACCTGGTTGAGATTCTGGCCCTAGGTCTTGGACACTTGGGCAAAGGTTAGACTCCTTGGAAGAGAACCTGGGAAAGTTGCCCAGCCTCTGGGGACATTCACAGAGTTAAGGACATCACCGTCATGCAGAACTGGGCTTCTTGCATCATTGTGGTCCTGACTCTAGATTAACAAATTCACTGGCCAGCATACAGTGAGTGGATCATTGAATAATAAGTTCTCTGTAAATAATTCTTTGTTGATTGAGTCATTAATACTTGAAAATAGTGTTTAGTTATATTTCACCTTGCTAAACTAAAGCCAAAATACTATGTACACATTTCTAATTTATGGGGAAATAGCTACCATTCCACAGGAATGCATATGATACTATAACCTTCAAAACCATTGATATTTTAATATTAAAAGCAATGTGGGCTGGGGACTTAGCTCAGTGGCACCACGCCTGCTTGGCAAGCACAAGGTCCTGAGTTCAATCCCTGGTACTTAAAAAAAAAAAAAAAGCAATGTAGTGTTCATTGCTTAAAATACAGAATATAAAGAATTAGAAAGAATTGCCTCTAATCTCATAATTGCTCTACTTAGGTACAATGAGTTAACGTTTTAGTGTATTTTCTTCCAGTTTTTTCATATATATGTATATATGCACAAATTCATGTATATTTAAAATTAAAATTATATGGAATATATGGCTGTCTTCCTTTTTCACAAAATGTTACAGATGGAACATTTTCATTGATCAACAACTATCTCTGCAAATACGATTTTTACATATCTACATAGCACCCTATCATATGGATGGACTATGATTTACTTAACTGTTTCCTTATGTTTGTATACTGGGTTTATTTCCAACTTTTCCTGTATTATAAAGAATGCTTCATAGAATATGCTCATTCATAAATCATTCTGAACACTTCCGATCATTTTTCTTAAAATAGATATCTAGAAGCAAGATTACTAGACAAGGGAGTATAAACCCTTTTATGGTTCTTGTTACATACTTCTGAAGATGTTTTAAAAACATTTAAGGATTAAGGTCTAAAAGAAGTCACAGAAATGACAGGTTTGGTTTGGTTTTAGCACTGTTGCCTCCTGTCATTCAGGCAAGGCTGGTCGACAAGTTGGCTACCTTCAGGGTTATAATCTTGCCCATCATGGGTGTCACCTGCATCTCAGGAGCCCCCACCAGAGAAGGCTTTGTCATGGACAGCCTGCAGTGCCTCGCCTACCCCTAAGGCCTATGTGCTTCCAGGATGGCATGCAAAACCAGGACTTACTCTGGGGGGGTTGTTTCCGAGGCTGGAATATACACTACAATCAAAGGCCTAATGCCTAGGGCCAGCAAGGAAAAATAAACAAGAAAGATTGAGGCCACTGAATTAAAAATACTAAATTGCTTCCTGCCCTTTGTCTTTTTACATAGCTCTTTCCAGCATCCTTGCAGACTTCAGAAGTGTCAAGAGTCGTGCTAGCCCCAGAAAAGGCTGTTGATTAAAGAAATAATGAAGATCATTTTGAATATGGTGCTCAATTATATGCAATGATGACTTGACATTAGGCTTGCTTCAATTGTTTATTTTATGAAATAAAAAGCTAAGTCTGTTGTTTATCTTTAAAAAAGAATTCCTAACTGCATCACAGAAGTTTTTGCCTCTCTTTTTTCTGAAAATTTACTTTGCAATAAGCACAGAATATATTCATATTAATCATAAATATCCCCCTCCCCTCCCTTTCAGGTAAGTAGAATTTTAATTATTAGGGTAGATAGATTTTCTTAAGTACTTCTCATTATAATTTTTTATGTCGTACTTCCCTAACTTGCTTTACTGTTTTCTTTGTCTTTTATATTATGCAAAACTTATTCTGAAAAATTTATGCAAAATTATTACCAGTAGAGGCACCAAATATATTCCCATATCTTAGGAACTTCAATATAAACATGTCTCTGCTGACAGAATCATAGGGTCAGAGAAAAGAAAAAAGCAGATTTAGCTGGCTGGGACCTTGGGATAGAAAACACAATTCCCTTGTTTGGATTTAAGAAAGAAAGAAAAAAATCAGCTCAGAGACATAAAAAAGCTTTGTGGAGTCTTATTTTTGCTACTGAACCAAGAATACAAAATAGGAAAAAAAATAGACATAACATCTGAATTCTTTACAGCCCTTTACAGTTTATAAAACACTTTCATGTCCAATGTTAAAAGGTACTGCAATTCTGAGCTTTCAGCAAACAACTCTTCCACGTGCTCTCTCGACGAGACCCAGGTGGCTGATTTCACAACTGGTATTACTTCATCTATTGGTTGTTACCAATGGAGTCTCCAAAGGCATTTAAGGGGAATTCTCACAGGGAACAATAGGCTGCCACGTCCGGTGGGTCAGTTCAAAATGGAGAATAACATATTTTGCCCTCAATGTTAAGAAACTCGAGCCAATTCTAACTAGTATCAGAAGGATTTTTTTCTGATTTCTAAAGAACTTGTCACTGGTCACATCTGCCACTTGGGGCTCCAAGGACCGAATTCAATCTCAAAGAAATTCAAGTCTGTGTCTTTCAATATCCCAGGGTGGGTTTCTCCACTGCAGGCATCAGAGTAGGTATCTTTGCCAGCTGTATCTTCATGGAAGATGACGGCAAGTGCCTGCGAGATGTCAAATGATAAACTAGAGTACTCATCTGAAAGCTTTCACAGTCATTCAATCAGATTTCCCAAATTTATGGAGCACAGAGAAGGGAGGCAGAGGAGAACAAGGCGTGGCCACCGTCCCCAACTCAGTGGGCAGGTGCTCAGCCCAGCCACATCTGTGGGAGTGTCCTGAATCCTTGGAGAGTTGACCTCTTTTTTTTTTCTCTTCCTGGTACTGGGAACTGAGCTCAGAGCCTCATGCTTGCCCAGTAGGCACTGTGCCACTGAGCACATCCTCTGCTCTAACTTCTGTGGACGATGTCATAGTCTGTTATGACTGTTGGGGTCAGCTCTTTTGTGACCTCCTCCTCCTCCAGGTAGTGGGTTACAGAGTCATGCATTTAGTCCTTCAGTAGGGTGTATTTGTTTCCTGTGCTCACCACAACAAATTACCACAAACTGGGTGGCTTAAAGCAACCAAAATTTCTTCTCCGTTTTTGAGGCCAGAAGTCTGAACAAGGCATTAGCAAGGCTGTGCTTATTCTGAAGGCCCGTGGGGCAGAAGCCAACCTTCACCTTTCTTTTCACTCCTGGTGTTGCTGGCCATCCATGACAGTCTGGGGGTTGTGGACGCATCCCTCCAATCCATCTCCAGCGTCACATGGTGCCCTCCTTGTGTCTCCTTCTCTGGAGGGCACCGGTCCCATTGATTAGGTCACCCTAGCTCAGTGTTGTCTCATCTTTGCTTGTTTACATCTATAAGACCCTATTTCCAAAAAAGTCACATCTGCAGCTACCATGGGTGAGTTCTTACACTGACTTTTATGGGAGGCACAGGGATTTGATCCACCCAGGGCCCTTTCTCAGGACAGACAACAAATTCTCTGTTGGGATGGCAGGCTGCAGGCTCACATGGCTGTGTTCAAGGGGAAAGTGGAAAGAGCAAGCACAGAGGGTTAAAATAATGTGGCACAAGTTTCCAGGGCTGAGAAGACAGAACAGTCTAAAGTAGACCTTCAAGGAAGTGACATTTCTCATGTCCCTGTCTTTCATCTTTATGTGTCTATCTTTCATACTAATGTCTTTCTCTCCTTGTTCCAGTGAAGTGGCAAGAGAGTAAAAGTGCTGAGCTTCTGCCATAAATCAGGCGCCGCACAGCACCCCATCCATTTGGGCCACTCACTGTCCATCCTCTGTGGCAGGGGTCATAGGCACTGTCCTGACAGACTCTGTTTGCTACTCTTGATTGAGTCTGAAGTGGCCTCCTGATAAAGCTTTCGTTTAGGCTGTAAAGTGCGCATCTCCTTTCCATTTCAGTCCTTTGCACCAGAAGCGTTTTCCACTTAATGAGCACACACAGCCAGGAACAATCCAGTGGGAGGTGTAGCGCTGTTATGGCGAGCATCCGTTGGAAGGGTGGCCAAAACAATCTCACCTGGAAGAGCACAGGACAGGCAGCATCTGTGCTCCATGCACCGACTGGCACCGAGACCTTTCTGCACTGATGAGCAGGGCAGACAGCTTGCTCCAGCACGGCTCAGACACCCTGTATTCCCCAGGCAAGGGGTTGCTTTCACCAGGAGTTAAAGTCTTCCTAAAAAAGAAAAGCTGCTTTTTTGCTCCCTGTTGACTACCACCCATTGGAGAGGCAGAAATTGTTAAAGATATGTTCAGCAGAGTCCCTGCCCTAGTAACAAATTACCTAATGTGAACTGCAAGGACAAAACAAGTATGGAAAAAACTTTCAGGAAACTAAACAAGTATGATAAAACATCTTTGGATCATCTACAGGCGAAGGGAATTGCCTTTTCTGACAAATGAATACAAGTCGTAAGTGAGCCTTTGGGAGAGGAATAACTACTTTTCCTCCAAATTTCTAGAAACTTTGTGAAGAAATTGTTTTCATCCTTATACCCTAATTGATTTAGCAACAAATGAAGAGCATAGTCAAGACTCTCAGTTGAAAGTAAGAGAAACAACTCAAATAAAGGGCAATATATTTATTCATTATCTAAAAATATTCAGAATAGTTTCATATATTTAAACAATGTCTTCAGGATTATTCTACAGGATTCTGTCTTGCCTTCCACTCCTAACTTCATTCTCAAGAAGGTAATCGTTTTTTTGTTTTGTTTTGTTTTGTTTTTACAAGATGTCCAACAGAAGTTCTGGGCTAATTTTCTAGAGCCAAGAAGAGAATTTCTCTTTTCCAGTACATGTAGCCCAGTACATGTCAGCCCTAGGCTCACAGCCTTACCTCTGACAGTCTTGTTGGTAACATCTGCTCTCTCCTGAGCACCAGCTACTAAACCCTCTTGTTGGCCACTTAAGAACCTTGTGATCTGTCCTGAGCTGGTGTAAGAGTCAACTCCACCAGAACCCAGGGAATGCAGAGTGGGGGGGCTCCTTAATAAGAACTAGGGTCCTGCTGTCACGGGTTGGGCAGACAAAAGTAACAAATACATGACATGGGACAAAAATAAATGTACATTGCTATGAGATTCTGATTGAGAAATTCAAAATCATTCCCAGCTCTTTAAAGTAATGTTTACAATGTCAATCAGGTGGGCTTTTCATAGAATTTCTGATTGCTTTGCACTGGTAACCAGGTTACCAAAAAATTGTTTGTACCTCTTACCAAAATGGTTGTCCAGGAACATTTCCTGTTAATTCCTACTTTAGAATATTGCATAACTCCTTATTTCATGCACACACATAGATTAAAAACAAACCAAAAAACTAAAAAAAAAAAAATTCTAGTGAAAGTTTTCTATATTCACATCATTTTTTTTTTTTGCAAGAAAGACTATCTGGCTAAATTTAATTAAACATAAGAAAAATAGCAGTAGCTATTTGTAATAAGTACAAAGAGATAATAAGAAAAGATAAAATAGAAAAAAGTAGCCATTCACTTGTTGCAAATGCAAAGAAGACATATAAAAAGCAGTCTTTCACAGGATAGATTTTGCCATTTTCTAGAAAGAAACTATAATGTTTATTTTTAGTTCTCATTCTTTTCCCCAACTCAAATTTTAATAGTCACTGTGACTCATATTTGATTTGCTGGATTCTTGACAATGGCTAACTTTAATTCTTCCACTTTTCCTTCATTATAATGAGCCCTAGTTTTTAAAAATCCACTAACATTGTAATTTAAAAATCAACTTGTATTCAAAGAAAGAAATCTCAAAGAAAATTTTAGACAATTCCATGAAAAAGAAAATATGGAGGTGGCAGTGCTGTGAGGGAAATTAGTAGCCATAAGACGCTTACACAGAAAGAGAGGAAAGTCTCAAATGAATAATCTAAATTCTTATGTCAAGAAACTGGAAAAAGAAGAGCAAAATAAAGTCAAGTCAAGCAGAAAAAGCAGGAATAATTCAGTTAAGAGCAGGAACCAATAAAATTAAAATCAGGAAAGTGTAGGAAAATTAATAATATAAAAAATGAGACTCGGGCCAGGGATTTAGCTCAGTGGTGCTGCTGCCTGCCTTGCAAGCATAAGGACCCAAGTTCGATGCCCGGTACCAAATTAAATAAATAAATAAATAAAAAGTGAGACTCTGGAAAAATTAATAAAATCAATAAACTTTTGGTGAGACTGACAAAAATAAAAATAGGGAAGATACAAATCACCACTATCAGAAACAAAACAGGAAGACTATAGATCTTACAGATAGCAAAAGTATTTTAAATTTGAGAACCTAAATAAATGGATCAATTCTTTGAAAGCTACAAATTACCAAAACTCAACTGAGATGAAATAAGCAAACTATCTAGTCCTGTGACCTTTAAAGACACTGAATTTGTACATAGAAAGCTTAGGAAAAAGAAATTTTCAGATTCATTTTACTTTCACTAGAGAATTCTAACAAACATTTA